ATTAAGACATTAAAACATAGTTTGCTGACGTTCCAGAATATTTTTATTCCATTCTCAGGGCTGGTGGTGAAAAATAAAAACAAACTATAAATGGTAATACAACATAATAGCATACTATACAAAATGATGTAAATATGCTAGTATGTTCTAATTGCCATTTGTACATCTATGTTGTTATTTTTTTATTTTTATGTTTTATCATTAGCCCTGAGAATGGAATAAAAATATTCCAAAAATTCAGCAATGTTTTAATTTAGTTCACTCTGACCAAATACCATGAACTACATTTCTCATTTCTACTTCATGGGAAGTCTATCTTGAAACAGGTGTAAAGCTATTTATCTAAAGATTCAAGAAAGGTCTGAGAACTTTTTTTTATCGTCTTTATTCTCTCTGCACTTTTCTTTATGACACACTTTCAAGATAAAGTCTATGTGTAACCACACAAATCATAACATACAGTACATACTCTTCATTTAAAACTCTAAACTTTTTGACAAATACACAAGGCAGGAAAAAAGAAATAACAGTAATGCATCTAATAAATACTTGTTACTATAATAAATTCATTAAAAAAAATACATTTTATCCCCCCCTCAGAAGTATTTGAAAATAATTCTATCACAAAAAAAGTCTCTTGGCTCCATCATATTTTACAAGAAGGCAAATTATTAATGTATCACTGTTATCAAGAAAAGCACTACATAATACTCTCAATGAAATAAATAAACATTGACACTTTTTCCATTTAGACTGCACATTTCCACAAGTGTTGCTGGTGGGCAAAAAACATACATATCATAAAATGAGAAGAAGACATACTTGTAGTATTGCTAATTATATTGTTAAAGATACATCACTTCATCCTCCTAAAAAATAAAGTACTTTAAAGTTTCACTCACAACTGATACACAACCCAGTCTGACCAAAAATACTGATATTAATAATAATTTAAGTACAGATAGAAGAAAAGAGACAACACATCAATTGAATTGCATGTGTTGTGCCCAAGAGAAGTAATGAAAACTGCCTTTGAACTAAATAGTTTCTTTTTGCAGACCATTTCCTCAGCAATTCCTCCTCATGATTTTTAATCCTGAGTATTTTAATCTCAAACAGATGACCAATCAGCAACTGAAATGAAATCTGAAACATTTGTCCTTAACCATTCTTGAGTGAAACAAAATCCTGTTGGAAACACACAGGGCAGATGCACTCATTTAGAATCCTGTTGGAATCACCAATTGATGTATTGCTAGATATTACATGCCTACATTTGCAAGAAAAGCCAACATTTTGAATATTATTTATGAGCATTTGCTCTTAAAATAAGCTCATTCCATTTGCAAAAAATTGTACCTGAAAAACGAGTGATTTCATAGGAACGGAATGTTCTCTGCATATTTTGGCCAGTTATGAAAGACCCCATAAACTTAGCAAGCTATAAAAAAAGTTCATCATAATCATGAACTGTTTACATATAGTCCAACTGTTCCTGTTATTCCAATAGTCCCTTATTCACTGCCAAGGTGTTCCTGGCCTTCCCATCTCTTTTATGGTCAGCCTCTTTCTCTTTCACCTCTGTCTGAACTTTAGCACCTGCTTTGGTAGCCTGATTGGTTTACAAACATATTCAAAAAAGCTAATTTTGGTATATAATGCAATAAACTAGTTTCGACAGCTCATTTATTATTATTATTATTAAGGTAAATTTGAGTTCTTTGAACCCTAAAACTTACATATCTTTTCTATCTGTACTGATATGGGACTTACAATTTGTAACAAAGGTTATGGCCAGACTAAGTACATATAATGTGACTAGCAAGTAAATATCATCCAACTAAAAAAAGGTATGTGTAACGTGCTATACATTCACCAGGGTAAAATAAAGGTAACTATTTCAAATGAAGTCCCATATATACTGAACTGTATTAATTCTTTGTTAATATATAATTGCTTATTCCGACATTCCTTGGGCTTGTGTTCATAATTTACATTTGCACATGTTACACAATCTTTCTTTTCCTACATCAAATAATTGTAGTACCAAATAATCAAGAAAATTAGTGCTGCTACAGCACATACATTGTTGCATTATTTGTAAGGTCTACCCAATATTATACTACTACATGAACCTGCAAAAATGTCTCCACAAGCAATTTTTTTCTCACTGCCAAGATTCGAACTCAGGCCTGAAGTTAACTTGCCTTGCACCATCCCACTACATCATGCAGTTGCTTGATCTTACTGACGGTTGCTGATGCTTAAAACAGGAATGATCTCTCCGAATATTTCAAAATTTCACAATTTTCTAAAATTCAGATACTACAATGAAAATTGGACCTACACCATTTTGTTAAGTATTCTTTGCTCTATCAGAGAAAACAAGTTCTGTTTTAACAAAATGTATTGTTTTATTATTGCATTAACTTCAAGCAGAAATTAAGCAATTTTTTTTTAAAGATCTGATTTTTTTAGAACAGATTTCATTTAAGAGAAAAAATCTCTCAACATCTTCAGTACTGAACTTTTGCAATATTTGAAAGTACACAAAATAAAATTTGAAAAATGTGTCCTGCGACCATTTCCCCCCTGACCTTTGATACATATCAGCAGAAATGTTGAAGTCGAACTGTGGAGACATTTTTGAAAAAGTGCCAGTAATTCACAACAAAATTATGCAAAAACTACTCATATTTTCAAAAATTTGCAAATGCCCTTATTTCAAGATCAAAAGATTTCATGTTAAAAAACCTATATCTTTAATAATAAAGTTCTAGAAAACCCCCAAAAAAGTTTGAAGTTTTGTAATTTTTGAAAAATAAAGAGATTTTAACAAAAATGAGACCTTCATTGTTGTAAGCGTTCTTTAAGTTATCCGAGGATAAAGTTTAATCAAAAAATTTTTTAGAAAATTTTAAATATGTTGAGACTTTATGTCAAGTACCCCTCCCACCCCCAAGTGCAAATAATCATTTAAAAATCACAGGGTCTCAAGTTCATTCAGCCAACACCATCTACACTTTAGAAGTGTAGATGGCATTGGTTCAGCGGATCTGAGCATTATCAATTTTGGAGAAAATCATCTGAACAGAGTAGGCACTAGTGTTGACCAGACAGACGTTCTGCTGTCAATCGATTTTTCGGTATCAAGGACCCCAAACCGTGGACTGACTACACAATGTGTTAGAGGAAATAATTTACTACTTCAAAGTACAAGATTTATTTAATTTTCAATTACCAGGGCTTGACAACAAGAGTTTTTCTTGTCGAAAAATTGCTGATTTCTGCTGTACGTTAACAATAACTCTACTACTTGCATAATGAAGTTGGATATAAAGAAAGGATTACAGCTATTACCAATAAATGTGTGTATAATAAATACAAATCTTTCAGAATGTCTAAATAAAGAACCAAAACATTGATGAGTAAATAATAAATTGTACACACACACATCAATCGATACTGAGAGATTTGTGGTTTATGCAAGAATTTAATACGTTTCTGTTTCATTTTCTATCTGTGACATCAGATGAGAACAAAAGAAAATACAGAATGCAAGAAATGTGCCAGGCATATCTCAGGCAACAATTAATAAAATATTACAAATATGATCTGAAAACTAAATGCCTCCACGCTGCATCATTAGTCCTACAATTATTTCCTACATATTACCACAAACAATCAAGATCCATGAATAACTACATAACAAGCCTGCTTCGTTACCAAAGAAACTAATGGAGATAAGTCACGTTGGCAGTTTTAATCCTCATAATAACCTAGGAAAAGCATATGTATAGCAAAGTCAAAGTGAACAGAAATCACCATGACTTTTTTTTAGATTTTTAAAGAATTCAGTTTACTATATAAAAAATTAATGAAATGTTAAATATCAAACATGAATTCTTTAGTCACAAAAAAAATGCTAGATATGTTCAGAAACAGTCAATTCCTGTTTCCAGT